CGTCTACTTTTGCGAGTACAAGCGTCTTCTCACCTTTTTTCTAGTGTTTTTCTTCACACCGGAAACTGTGTACAAATAGTAATGCGGATAATAAAAGATACTACTACCAACATTTAGTGTGTTTTTTAAAAGAAGTTGATTTTGATGACGTATTATTCGAATCACTCCTTCATCAAAATGAACTTCTTTTAAAAGGAAAACGTAGACAATTTCTAGTAAAATGGAATAATAATCACAAGAAAACCCAGAAGATGTTAGTAGTATTATTTATGTATTATTTGCGTAATTATTCATATTTCTAGAGAAAATCTTCTCGGTCCGATTGCATTTAACTTCGAAAAGTACAAAAACTTATTTTGTCTACCAAAATTGCATGAAAACTTGCTTTAACAGAGAATGCTAAGAAAAAAATAGAAAAAAAGACACACGAGCGTCTTACCGAAAACGACAGACGGGATTTTTCGGCGAAATGACGTCGCCGTGAATGTGTTGAGGGTAAGCCACGGATCCTTCGATGCAGTGGAGTTGGTTGTCTGTTTGATGTTACTTTTCAGGAATGGGTGGGTAGCGAATAAGGGACCAGATAGGGGTGCACTGCAGCTCTTATTGTTCGGGTTAGAATGTGGTGGGCTACATAGGGGAAATATGGTTCTCAGCTGGTTATTCACTCTCTTTATGTTGTTCGTTTGGCGTCTCCTTTCCATACTTTCTCCTTTCGAGTAATGAAGAAGTCCGCTCGCTAGATGCAGAGTGCTACGACAGTAGTTAGTGAAAGGGAGGAATTGCCTTAAAAAGAACCTATTAAATAGCGTTTACCTTACCTCTGTACTAACCAGGTTTGTTAAGACGAAAAGCTTTGATGGTGGATGGTGAAGACCCTGTATGTAACTTATACGGTGAAGCACCTCATCCCAGACTGGTTACTTCACTTCCCGAGAGCCTCAGTTGTGGAAATTCTCAGCAAAGAAGCCAATCGGGCGGTTTCGCCATTGTTGGATCTCCGTTCAATAAAATGCATGACTGGTGATAAGTGAAACTCCGTCGGCGATGGAGACGTTCCAGAATAGCATGGGTTCCATTTTCCATGACACTGCCCTGCAAATGTCCCGGGCTGTTTCAGCAGCTCTTTGGCCTCGATGAAAAGCGTAGAAGAGCAGATGAAAACGAGGAAAAGCGAGTGCCGAAAATGTTGCTTTTTCTTTTCGGATATTCCATTTCTCAGACTAAAAACTGTGAAAAGTAGATTATTGAAGAAGGCAAGAAGCGCCTTTTTCTAGAGCAGAAAAAGCTCTATCGAATGAGTACTTCAGTTGTCAAACAAAGCAAAAATCATTGTAACAAAAGTTTTAAGAAGAACGCTGTGAACTTATTTCTACCCAGTAAAATTAGTGACAGCAACATAACGACAGTGTAAAAAAACAGCTTTTGAAATTGAGCCACTGAAAATGCAAGGGCTTTCTTCACAACCTAATATAAATATGTTCTGTACTTGAACGAGCTTGGGCCCAGTTGCACAGGCAACGCGGGGTTGACTAGAAGTTAATGACTGGAATGGACGTATTGGAGACATTGGCAGTCATTCAATAATGATTCCGTACTGCACACTGAAAGTTCACTCCACGGGATGAGAAGAGCCTCTAGTCTTACCTTCTGAGTTTCTATTTACTCGTTGTGTTTATTGTCTCGTTTACTTCGGGTGAAGAGGCCGATTGGGTTTGGCGCAGTGCCAAATCCATTCTCTACCAGTTGCTGAAGCAGGTAAGCGACAATCATTGGGGAAGTTGACTGATAACGATATGATACAGTCTCTCTATCTCGCTTCAACAACTGCTGAAAAGTCAGTTTGGTGCTGCGCCAAACCATCCCGCCTGACACGTCCCTTCATCCGCAGCGAAGAAGACTGTAAGCTTATTCAAGAAAAGCATCGAGGACGAATATTTCAGCTATGAAACCCCACGAAATCCAAGACAAATTGGGTCTCACTCGAATTCGAGACAGGAACTGGTATGTCCAGCCTACTTGTGCCGCTGCAGGAGATGGTTTACATGAAGGACTTTCTTGGCTTAGTAGTAACTGCAAGCCTTAGCACCGATATGTTATATATGTGTCAGAGTCAGTGAGATTCTTAGGAAATGTGCATATTTATTTTGGGAATTTCTTATAAGTTACTGCGCATTCTTATCCTTACAAGGAAATTCGATGGTATCGTGCCACGGCTGTGCCGATTGTGTATTTGTAATTAATGCAGTGCCAATCTGTCCTCTGGTGTGCTCTTTGCAGCGTCATTGTATTTTTAATGTCTGAAAGGGACATGCTTCACGTTCATGTACATATGCATGCAATTGTCAAAGCGCCAAGTCATACACCAGTACGTTTTATTGAGTGTATGACTGGAAAGCACCTTCAGTTGCATACCTTACGTGTTTGTGACCTCCCCGTAAAAGTAGTCGGTTCCAAACTTTGTAATAACGTAGTAATGTGGTAACTTGTTCTGCGGCCAACCGTGAACCATGCTTGGTTATCGTTTTGGAGGCTGGGTATAGATGTCCCGTTTGTTATAGTGCGCTTGTTGGCTTCCGTAATTCGAAATTATAATATAAGACTGCGTTCATACTTCGCGGCAGCGTCTACCAGCGTGCGGCAGCGTTTCGAGCGAGTGCCAGCGACTAGGAATGTATCGATATCGATCTAGCGAAGGTCAACGTGCACCAGCAGGAGTGGAGTGAATGGGGAGGCAGGAGGGTAGCAGACAGCTGTATTAGGTGTCGTGAAATTTAGCGTACCGTGCAACTTCACTACACCGTACATCAAGATTGCGTAATTCAGTGCTTGAGCAGGGTTACAGAGCTGTTGTCAACCAGACATGCTCTCGCTGAGACATGCTTTCGCTGCGAGAGAACAGTGGTGTTTTCTGTAGTATCTACTGGCCCAGCAGACGAAGGGATACGGAAAAGGAAGAGGGAAGATAGAAGGAGGGAAGGTAAAGAAGGAAGGAGGAAAAAATGTGAAGGAGAATTGAGGCTTCGCGGATGACGAGTATCCCGAGACGGCGCTCGCTTGAGCAGTTGTTCGGCGCAGTCGCACACGCCGCAATTTCACGACACCTAAACCAGCTGTCTGCTACTCTCTTACTTTCCCATACTCTCCGTTCCCGGACGTGGTGGACGCTCGCGTTCGCTGGATCAATACCAACGCTTCCATAGCCCTCGAGAACGCTAGTGAACGCTGGCGCTCGCCATATCAATACCCATACCTTCCTAGTCGCTGGCGTTCGCTCTAAACGCAGCCGTACGCCAGTGGACACTGGCGCAAAGTATGAACGCAGCCGAAACGGCGAGATTCTTGCTCTTGGTGTGCTTGAAAAATCATTAATTCATTATGTTAATAAGCACTGTTAATTTGTCTTCCTCATTTGGACGCTTACATTATGTAATTCATCTGTGATATGATATGTATCTATATCTTAGAGATGGATTCGTTAACCTTCTTAAAGTCATACAACTGCTGTTATTTGGTGGTTAGTTACTTTGTTTCTTTTGAATGTTCCTGTTACAGGATCTTTCATTGTACTAGTTTCTTAGTACTAGTAACTTCTCGATGGCTAGCTTTCCATTTGTTGTTCGGTATAATTTCCACGTGATCTGAAGCAATATAGGATATAAATATATGGCATATTTTGACTTTTAGTTCAATTGTTTCTTTCAATTGTTTACCTAGGTGAGTGAAAGTGCTATTACAAAGAGCAACATCATTGGTAGGAGCGCTGGTAGGAGTCTAGAGGAGCTATGCAGGTTTACGAGTATGAAAACACCGGTAATAGTTTGGATCTGGATAGTGGTAGGTCTTTTCAATGGGCGGGAATGTTTCGGGTTTGCTAAGTATAAAAATATCGAACAGGGCGTGAACTGGCACGTTTCGTGGTGTTGTATGCGAAAGTATCGACGAGAAAGCACAAGAAATGGGAAGGAGATGGGCTTCTGATATGCTACGCTAACCTGGCCCTTCTCAAAACGGAAGACGAAAAGGACGTCATCAGCAGGTGAGAGGCTAACGTTTTGAAGCAAACCACCATTTTTTCGATTGCTATTCACGAAAAGGCTAGGTGCCAGAGAAGGGCCGAGTGTATACAGGCCATTTCTCTGATATTCATCTAACCGAAGGTAATATCACTGAATGACTGCAGCCTTGAAGTCAATCACACCTGCCTCAGCTTTCCTGCCCCGCATTAACCTATCTAGAACTATATCTGAGGCTGCGTTCACACTTTGCGTCAGCGTTTTGAGCTTTCGAGCGTCAGCGTGCGGCAGCGATTTGAGCGACTAGGAAAGTATAGGCACTGATCTATTGCTTTGAACGTACGCTGCGTCTGCCCGCGAAACGTTCAAAACTATAGTACGACGGGGCACATCATCGTTGAGGATTCCCCAGCAG